GAACTTTTAAATCAAAATCCCAAAATACTGCTTAGTGCTTTATTATCAGGCCAACTGTATTCATACCAGGTCTTACTACCTGGTCTAATGCCTTGTTGCCTTCCAAAGTTTATTACTGAAACAGCGGTCTTTGTTTGCTTGATTTTTAACTGAAAAAAAAGGACTTTCATCTTTCAAAACTTTGGAACTTTGAAGTTGCTTGTTTTATCCAGTGCACAGAGAATTTGGAGGTGATAGAAAATGGAATGTCATTTTGAAGCTAACTGCATGAACTACCTCAGATTTCAGAACCACTGATTTTCATACATAAAAAGAGCTATGTATTTACTAGGCTTTTTTTTTTTTTTAAAAAAAAAGGCTGTTGCAAAATGTTTAGATTTCTTTCTGAAGGGGAAACACTTCGTTTCCAAACTTGTTCTTTCTTCTCTGTCTACATAAAAGGTTGCGTAATATATTTTTGAGAGAAAGTACTTTTTTTCTGGTGGGAGCAAGGTTATACTGAATGAAGTTGGTAGGAAAGTTAGCTAAATCTTAATGTTTGAGTTGCTCTTTTGGATCCATAATAAGTTAATGTGTTTCTCTTTGTGATCAATTTAGAGCTCTTTGTGTTTGTCTGGACCAAACTCTATAACTCACGATTTTACCAACATATCTCAGAGAGACACAGCATCATCACAACCTTCAATGCTTAGAACAGTCTCCCAAGAAGACTCACTGGAAAATAACCAGGAGCAGCAAATAGAGCACCTGAGGACAGAAATCAATGCTATCAAAGCCAATTACAAAAGCAAGAATGGAGTATGGCAGTTTTTTGTAATATTTAGTCTTAGCACTTTCTTTTATTTCCTTTTATTTTATATTCCTGTTATTAAAAATAACAAAGATAAGTGATACCTAGTTTGAGGAAAATAAGCCAGGTGTGCATTACTAATGTAGGGGGAAGCAGTAATTGTAATTATAATGTGTAATGGGAAGGGTCCAGAGTTACTGATACTCATGGCAGTGGGTCCTTTTACTGTGGTAATTTCTCATTGTTTGTTCATGGCTCTGTTTTCCAGGAGGACAGCACCCTTAATCAGTCTGTGCTTGCCAAGAACACTTTAATTATTACCCAGTCCCATCTGATGACTGCTCTTGAGGGTATAAGACCATCCATTAGCCAAGATGACTGGAAGAATTTTACTGAACTGTAAGCATAATATTTTTTATTATTAATTGTGAGCTTAAGTGGAGATTTGGTCTTTCCATATTTCTTATTCATCAGTTATTAATGATAATCTATGTGGTGAATGGCATGGAAATTGAGTGGTTTCTGACAGCAGTTTTCTTTTCACCAATACCAAGCTACACAATAGAAAGAGGAAATTATCTTAACAGGGTGGGTGTCTTTTATTGTTTTTATTAAAGTGGAACCTAGAAATTCTAATCCCAGACCCCAAACCCCTTTTATTACGTTAAAAGCTATACCAGTATAAAGAGGATTCTGATTCTCTAAAACGTAAAGCCGGGTCCTGCCTGTTCCCATTGAGTAGCAGTCCATGTTTTCAAATTGCTGGGTTATGACTTTCACTAGTGACCTCTGTTAACTACTGTATTTGGGAAGAGGTATGATGCTTTGAGTCCTCATTATATATGTTCCCAAAGGAAAATAATTTGCAAAAGAGAAGACATACTGAAAATGAGAACATGTCCATTAAACTTGAAAATGACTGGAGTGAAAAAGCTGAAGAGTGGCAGCAAAACAGTCCGTGATGTTTTTTGGACTTGGGAGTTAAGGTGTGGTCTACCTGAGGTGTTACATGGACAAGCAGATCTTAACAGCAGGGATCAGAGATAAGGAAAGGAGAATGAGAGAATTTCTAGGAATCAGTACCACCCTGTCCACTTTTCTTTATTCCTCTCTAAATAATAATAAAAGTATATATATAATTTTGGAATAATAGTAATTAAAAAAAATAGAGCTTTGTGGTCTGCTTTGCCTGAGTCAGAGTAGTGGATGAAAACTCCTCCAGGGCTGCAGGTCTGAGAAAACAGGTGCTCTTCATTTCAGTCAAAATATAATTGAACATTGATAGTTCTGTGCTGCATTACTGTGTATTTTGGGGACATATGCAGACAAAAGGATTTCAGACTAATATGCTGCTGTCTTTTACTGTTTCCAGGTACAATAATTTTCAGAATCCCAAGAGGAAAGGACAAATTGGGTCAGCATTCAGACCAGGACAAAGAATGACTCTAGCATAGTAACTTTTAATGTGCTTGTAATTACTGAACTGTAAATGAAAATGACAGGTGGGAGCTTAATATTTAAGTGATTACAACAGATTATTTATATTCATATGGGTATATTAATGCAGCTGTTGAAGAAAAATGTCTTTCTAGTTTACATGCTGTAAAATTATTTCACATTTTATTTTGAAGAAAATTGTCTTCCTGGAAATCAATATTAAATTTTTGAGAGAATTTCTGTTACATTATGTCCAGTTGTTTATCACAAAAAAAATTAAATTTTGATTTTATCAATGTACAGTTGCCACAACCTAATAATGATCTCCCTGTCTGAGTAAACTGTACTGTCTAAGGCAAGAAATGATGCAGTGACATTTTGTAGAGCTTTTCTCTAATGGCTTTTAGAGGGCTCAGAGAAGAGTGGTACTTCATATGTTTGTTGATGGGCCAACAATACTAGTAAGTAATATTTCCAGAACAACTGTAGCCAAAAAGAGTCTTTTGCCACCATTAATTATTCAGAGTAACATCAAGTTGCATTTCATAACAATCATATCTTTCTAACACTGTCTTCTTCTTGGAGACTTGAAAAAATCTCTCATGTTTGGAAGTTTTCCTACTTTTCATGGGGTTACAATCACATCTACTTTCTTACAGTGAGATTGTTAAAGAGTTGTCTTCCTCAGCTGATAGCTAGATAAACTCTTACAGCAGGGGAAAGGAAAAGGCCTGGATAGAAAAAGTACTGGAGATGTTTGCTGTGAGTCCTTACCACCCTTTCACACCATTCTGCCAATACTGTGGGCTTTTGCTCACTTTCGCTGATCATCCTTCCCTGCTGTTTACCTCTCTAAGGTAATTAGAAAGCATTGATTTTTTCTAGCTTTAATTACTATCATGTGCCCTCTCATACCTGTATCACTTTGGGGCACTGGGCAGTATTACCCCTTCTGTGATCAGGTGATAGGCCTGGCTTTTATTGACATTGCCAGCTGACACTGACCTTTCCCCAGCAGCCAGCCAGCACTTCCTTGTAGTCGAGGGACTTCTGAAGAGACAAGTGATAAATATAGATGAGCACTTATCTTGTTTCTAATGTGCAGCTGACACTTTCACTTTGCAAACAGGAATTCCATTGCTGCTACTGTCCCAGAGTTTTTCTTAAAGTGCTTAGGCAGCTTTGACTCCAGAAGTGATTCATATTTGGAAATTTCTTCTTACAAGTGTGTAGGCTGCTAAATTCTTCAACTACTGCCTTGGAAAGAATGTACCTGTTTTGAAGTGAGTTCCAGATTGAGTCTGCTGGTGACATCTGACAAAAAGCCTGGGGCAGATAGATTCAGCGTGTGCTGACAGGTGGTGGTTGTGACAGCAGAACAGCGAGAGCAAGTTACTGGAAAGAGGTGATGTGAGTGAGTTGATTCTGCTAAAGGCTGGCTTAGTCAGTGCAGTTAGCTCTACAGAAAGGCTCAGTGTCTGAATACAGAGAGAATTTTGTAATTCCTCATGATCAAAACTGACAGGCTTGCTTTGCCACAAGTCAGGGTGCTAATACCATCCAGTGTATCAGGGTTGTTTATTGTTATGCTCTTCTGCCATAAATTGTAATTGTTTTTTGTTGGGAAATAGAATTTCTGCTGTACAATTAAAAAATCCACAAGGTATTTACTGTGCAACTTTCAAACTTTAAGGGAACAAATTTTTTTCTATTTCCAATTTGAAAAAAGTAAGGATTTTCTAGACCATCTGAAATGGAATCAAAAGGTCTGAGCTGAGGCTTAGATTATGTTAATGTTGATGTTTCATAATGGACATCGCCAGCTAGAATTCTCAACAGTTTAAGTGTGGCAGTTAACAGCCTGCATAATGAATCATAGAATGGGCTGGGTTGAAAAGGACTACAATGATCATGTAGTTTCAAACCCCCTGCTATGTGCAGGGTCGCCAACCACCAGACCAGGCTGCCCAGAGCCACATCCAGCCTGGTCTTGAATGCCTGCAGGGATGGGGCATCCACAACCTCCTTGGGCAACTTGTCCTAGTGTGTAACCACCCTCTGAGTGAGAATTCCCCCTAATATCTAATCCAAACCTCCCCTGTCTCACTTTAAAACTATTCCCCTTCATCCTATCACTATCCACCCTGGTAAACAGCCGCTCTCCCTCCTGTTTATATGCTCCCTTTAAGTACTGGAAGGCCAAATGAGATCTTCTTCCAAATGAGCCTTCTCTTCTCCAGGCTAAACAAGCCCAGTCCCCTCAACCTTTCCTCATAGGAGAGGTGCAAATCATAAACGTATGTTTTAGGTTTAAAACAGATCCTGAATTTCAGTTTGGCTAAAGAAGCTCTTACGTGGAATAATCTACACTTGATGTCGTACAGAGAGTTTCTCCCTCCTTGTCTTTTAGCATCAGGGAAGTAAAGTATGTTCTTCCAGCCCAAATGCAAATGTTTTAAAATATAATTGCTATATAATCAAAGAATATTAAGATGGTATATAGTCAAAGAAAATTGTATAAAGAAATATTATATAATCAAATAATATTAAGATGCTATAATAATGAAATAAACAAGAGAGTTAGGCAAAGCAAGACAAAGAGAATAGATAGGATGCTTACCCGTATCATGGGCTTGGTCAGGAAACTCCAGTGAAGTGAATCTTCAGAAGAGAGATCCTTCCCCACTGGTAGTCAGCTCTTAAATGGGTCTAGGAGCCAGGCTCCACCCCTTCCTGCAGCACAGGTGAATTGCTTTCACCTGTGCTCCCAGGGCTGACTCATTGCTCGCCTCAGCTGATTAATCAGAGGTTCAGGCCGTGACTCAGCAGTTCCTATACAATTGCAAACCAAAACTTTTGCATTACACAAATTTATTTTTTTCCTAGGTTGTCTTTCTCAATAGCTGTGTGATTGTGTGTGTGTTCATATCATATGAAACCGTACGTAGTTCATCTTTTTCACAGTAAATCTAAGCTATCATTTTACTTGCCTAATTTATTTCATAACTCCTTGTTACTATAAAAATTGGGGAAAAAGAAATCAATACTGTATGATTACATATGGATCTGACTGTTTGTCATTTAATACCTTTTGTAATCCTGTGGTGTTTGAACAGCAGGGTGGGAGCCTTTCCAGGTAGGCAAGATAGTGATCATAGGATCGTAAATAATGCAGTAACTTGACAGAGACCAGAATAAGAAGGAAATGCCCTCCATGGATTACACTGGTATTTGGAGCATTAGCTCTGTGCAGTGGAGACAGGAGTCCTAAGAATGCTTTGTACCGTTTGGCACGTAGGAATTCACTCAGTGACACATCACTGGGAGCAGTGTGGTAATAGCTGCCACTCAGGCACCTCAGCTGGCAGCACTTCACCCACACACCTCAGAGCAGCTCACTGTGGGGTTTGTAGAGGCTGCTGTGTTTTTACACCGCTCTTAGCATGGGGTATCTGTTAGCGTGGCTTTGGCTTGAGAGGTGAGCGTGGGTTATGTGACGTGTTTTGCATTGGGCACAAGGGAGACAACGTCCTCAGCTTCAGCATGCACTGTTGTAATACACAATAGCTTTAACATTAATTAACTCCCTGTTCTGCATCAGGTGCAACGTTTTGAGACGCTAGTAATACAATAGTTCTGCTTCAGGTTTTTAGCAAGCCGTGTATCAGGTTACTTCTGCCTCTGCATGAGCACAGACACAGTGAGATTGGAATTGTACAAACCTTGCCCCAGGGAACAAATGCTTTAGTTTTCCTATTCCTGGAGTTGGTCAAAGAGACAATCTGCTGTAGGCATCCTGAAGTGAAAATGCATGGATTGACAGCTAGCAGTGTTCTCTAGGTGGTGCACCAGAGGTCTGGGATAAAATACCTTCTGGTCTGTGGATTGTAGCTGGTAAAGAAGTGCTACATCATTTCACTGGCATTCAGGTCACCATTGTGAGCCAGCCCAACAGAAACAGGTGTGAGCAATTCCTCCTCCGTATCCTCCAGCAGCTGGTGGGGCTCTTGTGGGACTCCCGAGTCAGTGCCTTCCAGTAACGTTGTGCAGCAACAGTGGTGTATCTGCAGCTGACAGGTAACAGTGGTGGATTTTGTATCTCTTAGGAGTGGTGTCCCACACCTGTATCCAAAACTCTTTGGTGTAAATAGCTAGAATTAGCTGAAATGATTCCGTGACAAATGGAATCTAAAGGAAAGAGTCATTTTGGAGTTCCTCTGTGCAGTAAAGTGTAAAAACAGCTCGTAAGGGTCTTCAGCAGTGACCTGGGCAAGGATGCAGCACAGCGGGTGTGTGTTTGTGGGAGGGCCAGCTGAGAAGTGCATGCTGATGCAGGGGTTTGGTACAAGAAAAATTTTCAGGCCGTGAAGCTGCTGGGTGAGCTCCATTGTTTTCAGAGAGCAGCAGCTTTCTAGAACTATTTGAAACCACCCATAAAATGCTGTCGGTGTCTCATTATACAATTCCAGCATAAGCACAGCATGATCAGAACCACCCTTACAGCCAGGGTTGGGGCTTGGTGGCATTTTCTGTAGGAAGGTATTAGGAAGGTATCTCTCTCTCACAAGTGTGTAGCTGTTATTTGACTCTTCCAGACAAACCAGTTAAAATCCAGTGCTAATCTCCATGTCCCCCATGATTGCCAAGTTTCAGGAAACTCAGTACGTTATTCCTTGATACGTACACGTTATCCTGACAGCACGCGAGCATTGTATCAAAGTGCCCTTAACCAAAATCCTGACTAGAACATCGTGACCTTGGCTTGATAGCAGAAAGCAGCACCGGGGCGGGGCCATCGGTCGAGGAGCTCCGAGGATGAGCGGCGGCGGCGGCGTCCCGGCTCGTCCCGTCCCGGCGCTGTCTGCCCGCGGCGCCCGCATCGCCGCCGGCGTGCCGGGGCTGCTGGACGGCGGCTTCGCCCTCTACGTCGCCGACCCCTTCGACCGGGAGCGCAACCCCGAGGTGAGGGCGGCGGCTCGGGGGCTGCGGGGAAACGGCGCTCTGCTGGTGCTTCAGTGTCGTCTCTTCCAGGGCGTCGTGAACCTGGGGACCAGCGAGAACAGGCTGTGTTTTGATTTGATAGAGGAGAGAGTAAGTGTGGCGGCCTGCCGGCTCCTTTGCTGTTTTCTAACAATTTCAAAGCGTCCAGGTAACAATTTAGCGTGGAGAAAATCGTCCCTAGGGCTGCTGACAGTGCTAACTGCTTTCACAAGGATGCACATCACACGTACTGCGTGAATGTCGTGTGTGCTAAGTAACATAATGAAAATTCACCTCAGGTTGAAAACTCCTATTTGGTTTTGCTTTGGATTCGTACACAAAGAACTGAAGGTGCTCCATTTTCGCAGACACAGCTGTGCTCCTGCAAGGGCCGTGTGCTCGGTGCTCTAACGAGGGGCCCCCATGTCTGCTGGCAGAGCCACAGCTCAGACCACGGAGTGCTCGGTGTGCAGAATGCAGGCTTGGAGCAGAACTAGTGCTACAACTGAGGAACTGCCACGCTCAGGTCTGGGCTCCAAGAGCAGCCTTTAAAGGTTTTTTCCCGCTCTGTTAATTCTAGTTTACCTGCTTGAAAACAAGATATTCTGGCTCAGGTGCTGGCAAACTGGGACCTTGTGGCCAGACCTGTTGGGAGCACATTAACTCCTGTGTTCTTTGCATGCAGAGATGATGTGCACCAGTGCAACTGCTGGCAACTTTGTGGTGCTGGTGAGGGAGGACCATGCACAAAGCCGGTGTCCAGCTCAGCTGAGGGGTCAGCAGAGCTGGTGACAGTAGGAGATTGTTATAGGAATGAACCCAAATTGGGGCCGCTGTGAATATCAGGCAGTTTACATAGGGACACCTGTGCTGAGGGCAGGAAAGCCATTGCTGATAGCACAGCTGCTTTTCTTCTGTAGCACATAGTGTGTTATTTCTGCTGGTTGAGAAGCTCATCAAGGTTGGCATTAACGTCTGATGTTAACAATTTGGAAATAATTGTTTGGGCTTTGATACATCTCAGCAGTGCTTGTGTGAGCAGCTGGTCTGCTTCTCGTCCATGTGGGATTGAGTGTATGATGGAGCAAAGCAATAAGTAATTCCTTCATTCTTTTTTTCCTTTGTTTTGATGTCTTAATGCTGTTTCTAGTATTTTAAAAAAGAGAAGTGCAAATCATAGAACTTTATCTAATTATTTTTTTATATTCTCCATTTCCTTATTGTTACTGAACAACTAAAACCAAAAAAGTATGGTACAGCAGAGCAGAAGATCCCAATTACTCCATGTTCTATAGTGTCTCTCTCTCATGTCTCCAGCTCACACGGCCTGACATGGACTGCCTGCAGCCCGATCTCTTCCAGTATTCTGACACGCAGGGTGTGAGGAGGTAAGAAGTTCATCTTCCCCTCTCTGTCCCCGCTTGAGCTCCATGCTCTTTCCACTGTGTGGCTTCATTCTCCTGGTGAGCCTGAAGGATGGGTGTGTTAATGGCAGCTGCTTGTGGATGTGCTTTTGCTTGCCTGGCTTTTTGTTCTGTTGTTTTTTCCATCCTTACAGTGCTAAAAACTGGCAAAGTCTGGCTGGGTGCAAGACGTATGCATGGGCAGTTCTTCAGAGCTGAGGGTGGATGAGTTCTGGGAGGGCTCATCCCAGACTTAGTGAGGGGTGAACGGGAGCAATGTGGGCTGCCAGGCCTGAGTACTGCTCCTGAAGAACAGTGGAGCAGCCTTCACCATGCCTGGGAGCTTGCTTGGAGCCGTCATTCACCAGGTCCCACTGCTTCTGGTGCCCACATCCTGGTGCTCCCTCTAAAAATGCTCCACTTTGGCTCAAGTGAGTTTATTTTCTTGCTTTCCCACTGTGCAGAAATAACAGCTGAGTCACAGCCACTGCTGCTCAAGGCTGCAGATGTCTTCCGTGTGCTTTGTATCTCACAAAATGTAGCTCTCTGTTTATCTGAGGAAATTATATTGTTTAAGCTGTAGGAAGTAAAAAATCTTCAAGGCTTTCTTAACAGAATTGTGTGATTGTTCTTTTTTCTTCTTTTTGTAAACTTCATTTTTCTATGCATCTTTTGTGCTTTTTCTTCTGAGAAATATGTAGTTGCATCGCTGACTCTAATTCTGTATTTTAGCTTCAGAGAAGAAATTGCCAAATTTCTGACTGACTATGCCAGAGCCGCAAAAGAACTTAGACCAGAACATGTAAGAAAATTGCCTTATGTCTGCAGTTTATTTTTTCTTGAACTGATAAAAGGTAAGTAGATCTGAACACAAATGTCAGCAGGATACTGCAGGAGGGTTGTGTGTCAGCTCAGAGCACAGGAGCTGAGGAGAGGCCTCATGGCAGCTGCAGCTCCTCAAAGGGAGCAGAGGGGTAAGCACTGAGCTCTGCTCTGTGTGACAGCAACGGGGCCTGAGGGAATGGCATGCAGCTGTGTCGGGGGGGGCAGCTGGGGGTCAGGGAAAGGGTCTGCACCAGAGGGTGGTGGGCATGGAACGGGCTGCACAGGGCAGTGGATGCAGCCCCAGGCTGCTGGAGTTCCATGAGTGTTTGGACAGCGCTCTCAGATACGTGATTTGATTTTGGATGATGCTGTGTGGAGCCAGGAGTTGGATTTGATTACCCTTGTGGGTCCCTTCCAACTTGGGATGTTCTGTGATTCTATATACAATCTATATAGATCTACAGAAGCCTCAGTAGTGTCAATTTTCCGTTTGAGAAACTGGTCAATGAGTGACAGTCAAGCACTTTGTATGATAGTTGTGGTCGTGTGGCTTCCTCACTCTTCTGTTTTGAATTTAAACCACAGAGGTGGTGGTGTCTCTGTTAAGGAGCATTTGTTCTGCTTTTTTCAGATCACTGTCATGAATGGCTGCTGTGCAGTTTTTGCCACTCTGTCAACTGTGCTGTGTGACCCTGGTGGTGAGTAAAAACCTGAATGCTTTTTGTTTGAAGCATTTATCAGTGCTCCAGGGAGACCTGAGAGTGGTCTGACAGTATCTGCAGGGTGGCTGTAAGAAAGAAGGGGACAGTCACTTTAGCAGGATCTGTGGTGATAGAACAAGGGGAAATGGTTTCAAACTAAAAGAGGGGAGATTTTGATTGGATATGAGGAGGAAGTTTTTTACAGTCAGGGTGGTGAGGCACTGGAACAGGTTGCCTGGAGAGGTGGTGGATGCCCCATCGCTGGAGATGGTCAAGATCACACTGGACATCTGAGCAACCTGATGTAGCTGTTGGTGTCCTTGCTCATTGCAGGAAAGTTGAACTAGATGACCTTTAAGGGCCCTTTGCAACTCAAATGATTCTATGATTCTATTTACAAGTTAAAATTGAACATGATAGCATTGTGTCTTAATGACAGCTTGCTTTCCTTATACCTGGATGAAGTATAGCATGGGCATAGCATTTCTTTGTTCCTAGCAAAGTATCGTTGAACTAATGCCTCCGATTATTTCTATAAGGTTGGAAAACATTTGAGGTATCAGCAGGCCAGCCGCTTTCTGGAACATAATCTATAGGGCTTTTGGGAGGAGCAGTATAGCAAGAGGAAGGGTATAAAGGTAATGCAAAATGAACTTTGAAGAGTGATGAGAAAAAGAGATGGGAACCACACAGAATCTGGAGAGGGTGGCACACAGAGAGAAGGTAGGCTGGGGAAGGAAATTTGGGAAAAGGGAATGGATCTGTAGCAAGAGAGGGATTTTCAGCCAAGGGAATTCCTGGAGCAAATGTGAGCAACATCCATGGGCACCCATTGGAGTGGGAAGGTGTGCAGGATGACTTCAGCACATGGTGGTAGAGAGGCTGTGAAATCAGTTTTGTTTAAAATGGCAAAGAAAATGTTTACTCCAGGCTACTCATACCCATGTCCTACTTTAATATGTTCAGATTTTTTGCATTTACAAATCTGTAACAGAAGCTCTTTTGCCTGAAGACAGACAAACTCCTTTCTCCCCTTCTTTAGTAGGAGGAAAGGAAGTACACTGTCCTCTCTGAAACCCTGTCACATGGGGTTTTGGCAGGGAAGCACCAACCCGGGGCTTCTCACAGAAATAAAAAAGCAGGAGGGGAAGAAGTTCCACAGTGCAAGCAGGATTCCTTGCTGCAGTTTAGCACTTTGTCGGCCAGGGAGAAGTACTTAAGGTTTGCAGTAGTTCCTGTTGAAAAATTAAGAGCACATTGACAAAATGTTGTGAGCAAGATAGTTGTTTGTCTCTATTTTATTAAAATAAGTAACAGAGTGAGTTGACTAGGTCCATTCCCTTTTACTTATATGACTTGATACACATCTACTATTGAAAATGCTAGGGAAGAGGACTGGGTGGAATTCAGATTGACTGACAAGTACAAAATTTTCAACTTAGTTTGAATGTTGGTTTAGGCTGTAGTGAACCCTTTGAGATGAAATCATATGTCAAATTCCTCGACTGGTAGTTCAGTTTACTAATGTCTTAGCAAAGTGATTCCTCATGAGAAACTTCAACTTTTCTTTTTCATTTTTCTAAATACTTTCAGATGGATATCTTATTCCAGCTCCTCACTATGGTGGCATAAATTCAAAAATGTGGCTATATGGTGGACTGCAGCCCGTGCATGTGCCCTTGTCCAGTGAGGTAAAGACATGTTCATATACTGTTCATATACTTTAGCAGTATTCTTCCCTCCTTGAAGCAGTGCCATCAGAAACTGTCGTTTGTTTAACTTATTTAAGAGCCAGCATCGAGTATGTTTTTCACTGGGTGGGAGTGTTTCCTCCTTTGTTCTCGCAGATTGTTTTTCTCCTGTAGGTGACTAACGAAGAAACTCACCCTTTCCAGTTAACAGCTGAAAAATTAGAAGCTGCACTACAGAGAGCTAAAAAGCAGGTAGCAGTAGCAGTGTCTTCTGATTTTCAGATTTTCCTTATGTTTTTTTTTTTTTAAGTTGCACATGCTCTTGATATCAAACCATTTGTGTATCTTCATCCATGCAGATATTCTGGAGCAGGGGAGGGGGGGTCCAGCTCTAGCAACAAGGATTTCATTTGTTTCTGTAATCTGGGCAATGTAGCAAAATGCAGAGAAACTCCTCACTCTGTTTTATGAATAATAGATCTTAATTTGTCTTTCAAGACTAAGTCTCTTGCTTGGTAATGGAACTCAAAGTATAGTAACGAAGCTGTTGTTCAGATCCTAAAAAGACAGAATATGTTACTGTAATGACGTGTGTAGTTAATTAAAGGAACTTGTTGAATGTGCTTCTGAGGAGGGCTCTTCTGGAGCAAAGAGGACAGAATCTGCTGTACCACGATGTCACTGGGAGCTTGGTGGGGTAAGGAGGTTTGGCACAGGACTTTTCTTCCACTAGGGTGGCTCCTTGGAAAATATATAATTTTTGCAGGATTTAGGAAATGTCATTAGATCAAAATTCTTAGCATTTTGAGTTGTTTTATTCTGATCAGGATTGTATAAATGGGGATATTATTTATCATATTGTTAAATATATATATTTTTTTCCCTCTTTGTCTTTGGAACTGTTCTTGTTTGTAGAAATGCTTGGTTTTCTGAGTGCCCACAAAACAGTGCTCACCAGTGTTTCAGGATCAAATGTTTCCTATTCTTAGTGTCTTGGTATTTATGGTCCACAGACTTCTTGGAAAACTACAAATGCACTTAGCCTTTGTGCTCTTCCTTGATAGAATCCAGCAGAGGAAGCATAGGATGAGTAGTAACACATTTTTATCAAAGATGTGGTGAGGGTAGTGGTACAGAAGACTAACACAAATTTGTTGTGTCCTTTTCTAGGATAGAAAATAAGGTTTAACAACAGATACCACAGATAGGCACAAGTAGGGTCACTTATAGTAAGGTCACATATTAAAAAAAGTGGATATTTTGCATACACATGGATGTGTGTATAGCTTTTTTTTTTTTTTTTTTTTAATGTAAGACATGTCAAAGCTCTCCTATTTACCCAACTGCTTCGTCAGCACAGTGCCTATGTTTAGACACCATCTGTACATCTTTGTCATCAGCCAGTGCCTCTGCCAGTCTGTGTGGGACTGAGTGTGCAGCTGCCCACCAACCCTCCTTGCTGGGCAGGGTGTGAGCACCATGCTTATGTGACACAGACTGCCCAGACAAGGTGTGGGGTCTTAGGGCACAGGTGTGTGATCCTAGAGCTGAAACTGATCTCGTGGATAACATTGCAAACATGGGTTTGGATACATGCAAGGTAGTAAGCAGACTAGAAGAGCAGTTGTGAATCTGCCATCCCTCAGCAGCTGCTCCTGTGAACATGAATGCCTCAGCATCTTCTGCTTAATATGTGTCAGATATGCCAAGCACGCTTTGGGCTTAGTATTTGCATCGTTTCCCATTAATTTTTTACTGTGTTCGGACTCAAAGGCAATAAGCTGAAATCTCTTACTGTGAGCAAGAGCTGAACAAGAAACCATTAAATTTCAGCAAATTGCTTATGGAGGGGAAAGCACGTATTGGTGCTTCCACCTAATTTAATTTCCTGGAGTTCTCTGGAGATGCTTAATGCAAATGATCTCCTTCAGAGGGGGCTAGGATGGACTCAGAATGTGCAGTGTCCGTTTTTCTAAAGCTTAAATGTGCTGAAACAAAAAGTACTGATTTAAGTTTATTCCAAACATGAAGTAATAAGGTAATTCCTCATGCTGGTGCATTTAAAATCTTGAAAGTTTCTGATGCAGCCATTAACTGTTTGCCTGCTTGCAATCAAATTTGTTTGGAAGTGTCTCTGTAGGACCTCTGTTCATCCCCCCAACATCGTAATCTTGCCTGTTGGGGTCAGTGGGTGTTTCAAATCAGCATTAACCTGATTTTCATTCAATAACATACCTTTTGGAGTGATCTTGGCATTTCACAGGATGAATAAAGAAACAAAATCTGCAGTTTAATCTGCATACTAATATATACCAGGTATAATTCAGTGATTTCTGAAAGCCAGCTTTCCATGGAAGGGAACGGTCTGCTCTTGCTGCATCCTCCAACTTCAGTTTGGTGTCACTGCTGTCTCCCACTGCTGGTTTTTCTTTTTTCAGGGCATCAGAGTGAGAGTATTAGTCCTCATCAACCCTAACAACCCCTTAGGGGATATTTACCCAGCGCAGTTACTGAAGGAATGCCTTGAGTTTGCACACAGGTTTGAGCCCTGGCACTATTTGTTTGGTATCCAGTTTTCCATTATGCAATATAGCAATGAAGAAAAATCACCTTTGTTATCTCCTGTCCTTTGTGCCTGTTCTGAGGAGGTGGCATGCAGGGACTTGAGCTTGGCTTTTATGTAACTATCCTTTGTGCTTGGCTTTTCTGGGAGCATGAAAATAAACTGGGATCTCTCTGAGATCCAACAGTTTGTTTTGAAATGAAATACTGTTGGGATTATTTAAAAAAAATCTTCTGATTTCTATGTGTAAAATCAATATGGTGAATATAATAGCAAATAGGCATGCTATTATGGGTACTTTGCCATGTAGTAGTTAAGATTATATATAAATATGTATATGTGGAAATAAATTCATTTTAAGTACATTACAGTGCCTCTATGTTTTATACACAGACATGAATTGCATGTAATAATGGATGAAATCTACATGCTGTCTGTTTATGATGATACCACCTTCACCAGTGTTCTTAGCTTAGATAGGTAAGTGTGATTCCTTAGCATGGGTTAAGATACTTAAGATATTTAATCCAAAATGGAAACTATGCCTTTTTTAAAAAACCTTCTGTATAGTATAACCAGTACATTTCTAACTAATTCATATCCAAGTCTTTGCGTCTATGAGACTTGTTAATACTAGAGATGCTTCTAGACTGACATGAACAGATCACTTGGTTGTAGCTAATGTGCATGGCATAGTAATGGTAATCATAAACTGATAGAGCCCTTCATCTTTCTCATTTTAATGGTCGTGAATTTCCTGAAGGTGAGCAAGTTACCTGCTACAATGAGTCTCTTTCCTGACTAGTGTGCTATTGGGCACTTCGTGTCCTCTGGCAGGCGATAGAAAGAGTAATTCTTCAGGAATGCTTGAACCTATTGCTATCTGACTAGTAGAACTTCTTTCTCCAGAAGTATGGTCTTAACTGCATAAATATCTCACTGATAGGAAATTTCCAAGTCCATCCAAGTATAACCAAACAGTGAGCCACTGGTTGTTGTCTCAACCACACAAGATCATAAGCTATAAATAATGCCTGAAAAAATGTTGTTGTTACTGTGGAAGTTCACCCAGCTTTATTAGGCTGAAGGTGGAAATTTCCAGGCTTAGCCAGGCTTAGCCTTATTACACAAAGTTACACAAAGGAGAAAATAGCATCTTCTTCAGTAGTCTACAATGGAGTATTCTGTTTGACTGTACCAAATCGTGTAAATACATGACTTGAAATGTTCACCTCTCCCTTCCCCAGTCTGAAACACAGCAGAGTGGAGCAAAGAGCTGTCCTCTGTTGGGTACAAGACGCATTTTGCATCCCTTATGGAAATACTGCTTTTGTTCTAATATAGGTGTGAGCACTGACTGTGCAGCAGGAATCTGGGAAATGTAACTGGTCTGTTACATCTTACTGGAAGTCCTTTTCTGTTATTTTATGTCTCTGCCTCCTAGAATACTACATGTATTTTGTTACAAGTTCTCTGAAGAAATCCATGCCACTTGAAAAGTTTATATGCTAATTTCACTGAAAATGAATTATAATTTTACATATTTAATCATTTTTGTAAACCTGCACAACTTGTTCATTTATAGCAACAATTCTTATTTTCTTTTCTCATTCAGTTTACCAGATCTCGAACGGACACATTTTATGTGGGGTTTTAGCAAGGTAAGTCAAAATATTATCTTTGTGTTTTAAGATATTTCACCACAAAACTTATTTGAACTATTCTGACATAATTTGTATTACAGATAACAAACTGAGCTTCTCTTTATTTATTACTTTCTCCCTTGGCAGTCTAGAATTTATTATTTTCAGCAGCTTAATTAGGGATCTACTTAACAGAAACAGTTAATGCTTATTTATACAGCCACGGTTGCTACATTTGCTGGGGGAAATTACAGTGGAAGATTATGCATATAAGCACAGTTCAGATCTGTAGCATTTTGTCTTTTCTTCTCTTGGAGGGAGCAATAAACTGATGGCTGATTGGAACAGGGGTATAATGGGGTACAGTGGAGACTGCCAAGGGTATGAGCCAAGCCTGTTTTAGTTGTTGGCCTCGAAAGCAACCTTGGTAAAGCCACTGGTCTGTCTTTCATTATTCTTGCCTACAACTAAAGGTACACAAAATATTACTAGTTTATCTGAGAAACACAAAAGGCTTCAAAACTGAGTTAATGCAGAGCAGTGTAGAACTTTTAACCGGGTTGTGTTATTTTGTGCTGCTTTGCCAGCATGTTGCCTTCACATTCTCCTTCACCATCTCCTTCTCCCTCTGCCTCTCCTGTCTCACAGTTGTTTAGAAGTTACTGATTGTTTCCTACTGTTCTTGGGACTGCATTTGGCCAAGTGTGCTCCAGAAGATAAGTTAGATGTTTCCAGTTAATGTAATGAGCAGAAATTTTCATAGCCACTTGTTTGTTCTGCAGTCCTTTATTGAGTGGACATTATACTATCTGTTTGTATTTGTTTCTTTGGGGATGGAGCAGTCCCTGCATTGTACCTTAAAATGACCCTAGAAATGGCAATAGGTCAGTTTTGATGTTACTCTATGCTTTTTATCCTAAATTTGTTGGTCTTGGTCTTTCATTCTCTGCTTGGTTAATGACTTCCTTTCTGTTAATGCTCAATGAGGAGGTAAAGGCTTTTTTCATTAATATTAAGAATTCTTTCATCAGTAATAATGCAAGATATAGGCTGATAATAATTTCATCGATAGATTTTGCTTTCCATCGAGTTGGTGACTTGCAATAATAGAATTTAGGATTTCATGTCTTGTACACCAAACCATATGGTTTTCTGCATAGGGACTCAGCAAAAGTTGACTTTAATATATATATACTATTGCATACTTGTGTAGCTTTTAGAAATACTTCTGAACAATGACTGTTGCAGAACATGTACTTTAGTAGGCACTCATGACAATGCCAAACTTAATTTTTGGAGTTACTCATCCGTTCTCAATATTTTTTATTCTTCATCATATAGTCACCAAAGTTGGAAAAGACCTCCAATATCATCCACTCCAACCATCCACCTATCACCAATATTGCCCACTAAACCATGTCCCTCAGTACAACATCTGAATGTTTCTTGAACACCTCCAGGGACAGTGATGCCACCACATCCCTGGGCAGCCCACTCCACTGCCTGCTGTGTTATCAAATGTTTTACTGTGTTATCAAAGGTTATTTTTGCAGAGCAGGAACATTTATTTGATCAAGCAGCTGATGTGGTAACATACCTTTTTGGAGATTTATTTTCCTTTACATCAGAATGATTCTAAACTTGGTGGCTGGGTAAAGAACAGCATAAAGTAAAAATTGCTCCTCTCCATCTTCTTTTTGTCCTCCAAGGATTTTGGTATGAGTGGAATCAGAGTTGGGGTACTGTACACCAGAAATCATGAAATTCAGAAAGCTGTCAATCAACTAGCTGTCTTCCACAGCTGTCCTGGACCTGTTCAGCACATTCTCACTCAAGTCCTTAAGGACAGAGGTTAGCCCCACTAGAAATGTTCCAGTGAGCTGGGTTTTTTTTGTTGTTGTTTGTTTGTTTGTTTGTTTTTTCCATTACAGGTGGAAATAAATAGAATTTTATTTGTCTTGATTTGATAGATTGGTTGGATAATGTGTTTTTTCCCACCAACAAGAAGAGACTTAAGGAAGCACAGAATCTTCTTGTGGATGGACTTGCAGACATTGGTATACCTGTGCTGAAAAGTTCGGGAGGACTCTTTGTGTGGGCAGACTTCAGAAAAGTATGTAAGAGCTTTGAAGTAGTGGGAATGTAGAAGCTGAAAATGTGAAAATTACATGTTGCATGTTGTTAAGTGCTTTTATATCAGGTCATAGAAAACCCTTTCAGTCTGTGTATTTGTTCAGTCTTTAATAATAATTTATTTTCTTTTTTTAGTTCTTAAAGTCACAGACATTTGAAGCTGAACTCGAACTATGGCAGAAGCTCCTTGATAAGAAACTCCTGATTAGTCCTGGAAAAGCTTTTTATTGTCATGAACCTGGATGGTTTCGATTGGTTTTCTCTGATTCTGTGGATAAGATTTATTTATGTAAGTTGGTTTTACTTTTAATACATCATGTAGTAGCATGCAAGCTTTGGAAAACATTAGCATTACAAATAATGTGTTCAAATCTACCTATTCCCTCTCAGCTTGCGAGAGCATTATTAGCCCTTGTATGAACTGAGAAATACTAGAACAGCCCAGAGCATTGCTTACTGAGCACTACTCTTGGATTATGTCAGACCTTTCAAGTTTGTGGAATTGCATCTTAAGAATTGTTTTTTCTATGTTGGAAGTCACTGCTTCTTCTTGAAAATTAGCTGTTATATCATATTGGTATTCCACAGCACCCATAATCTGTACGTACTTCATATGTGAGATATGAAAAATTTACCCATTCTTTATGCACTAAAATATGTAATATCTTGAACAAATGCTATATATATTACTGGCCAAAGGGATTTCTGTGAAGTAAAGGAAGTGTATGGGGTAACAAAAAAATGTAGGTTGGGAGGGAAATCTTGGGTCAACTATGTCAACTTCCTGCTGAGAGTGGGGCCAGGTGCTCAGAGCATTCTTTAATCAAGTTTTGGGACTGTCTAAAAACAGAGGTTACACAGCATCTCTGAGCAGTCTGTGTCCAGTTGACCTTTCCCTTCTGTTTTCACCATTTCTACTGGATAAGAAAAGCTTGAATTGAACTGTGTTTTCCCTTTGATAGGTATTGAGAGACTTCAGCAAATGCTGCATGCTGATGATACCAGACCAGTTGTAAACAACACATCTCCTACTGCAGACTCTTCACGCAGCCCAGAAAAAGATTCTTCCGGCACACCTTCAAACACCCCCCAAGAGGATTGCCTCCCAGCCAAAAAATATACTCGTTTTTTAAACTCATCTGTGCATTTAATGACTGATGAAATTTAGCACGCTTATGTTTACTGAAGGATTATGTTACTAAGTATTTTTGGCTGTAATATTGCATTAACAGTCTCACTTTGCTGTGACTTGGCATTTCTAGTCATGCAAGCAGGCCTGTTGAATGGAATTTGAAGACACTAGAACTCTTAGATACTCTGAAATTTGCCCTTGTTAAGCACTGCCTCCAGCTTTATTCAATTTAAAGTGTATTAAGCATCAGTGAAAAGCAAGAAGTCTTACATATATACTTGGATGGTGGATTATAAAGTTTTGAACAGACTGGTAAAAATTATGCAGATGACTAGAGGTAGTGGATATTTTAAACTGCATATTTTAATGAGAAGAGTGCAAGTACTGAATCAGGTGTTATTTAAGTTCTCCTAAACTTTTGTAGCTGACAAAAATGTATTTAAGAGATACTGTCAATAGTTAAGATATTCCAAATGCCTGTAATGCTCCAAAAACAGCAGTATAATGCAACACAGGGTTAAATCTCAAATTTTTAAATAACTCACTACATGAGTTATATGAGATGTGTGCCCATGCTCAGCATGTTGCAGCAGTTAATCCTAAGATTACATCACTCCTGGCTTTTGCTCTCCTCCTCACTTTGTTGAGCTTCCTGTTTGCTGCTCTATCAAATTACCAAGCATCCAGAAGTACAAATGACAGTCCTTAAAAAGATATTCACTGTAACCATCATTATCCCCTCACACATCTCCCCTCTTCTCTGCAGTCTATAACTTCTCACTGGGGCGCAATTCTGACAATAAATGCAACATAGTTCATTGATCAAGGGGCCTGGACCTAAGCTTTGCACTGGGACCATCTCATCAGTGAGGAAAATATTTCACAGACGAGCTTGGTACGTTGTGCTCACTCTCTCATTAATACACTTCTACAATATCTTAAGAATTTTTTCATCCATAGAAATACCATTACTTGTAAATGCATTCCACAGCCACCTTGCCAGAATGCCTCAGTGAGTAGTCATGTACTTCACTTTAGTTAAAAGTGGCACTTTGCTGATAGTTGAAGGCAGCCAAAATATTTGGCTTTGCCACGTGTTCAACCAACTAATAGCAAAGTAAAGAAGAAGATCATAGCAACGGGTATGAAAAGTCCTTGTGCTGCCTCAGTGTGGTCCACGGAGTGCTGCATTTCCACGGGCTTACTGTGGAGCTCAGTCACTGTCCTTGTTAGATCCTTGTAAGAAGAGGGAAGAAAACAGCACTTATGTTCAGTTCTGCATTTTGGAATTTCTGCAAATTACATCAAAAGAGAAGTACTCACTCACCATCTGTTTTATTTGGCAAGAAATTGCTACATAAAACGGACAATATAGAAAACTGTTAATGTCTGATTTACAGCAAGAGGATTCTTTCAGAAAATAATTGCCATCCCCTATTAATGATAAGTAGTCTTTTAACTCTTCTCCAGCAGGGACAAAAGGCTGTTCGACTCTCAGGAGTTCAAAATTACTTGTAGACAATGGATGCTTGGAACCCGAAATAGAGAAAAACATGTAGAAGACATGCATTCCTATCACTACAGCCAAGAAGCAGACTGCTTCTTCAGCCCCTGTATACATACAAGAAATGTTTCTTGGCCATCTCACTACCAGCAGGGAGATACAAGTATAGTCTGGAGATCATTTGTGTGCTTCAGCAGCTAAGCCAAATATTTCCTGATTCTGGCAGGTAAGAAGTGCAGCTTGCTATTTGCCTCACCCAGTTCATTGGAGAAGGGGTTTGCTGCAGGCTGCAGCTCTCAGCACCCCCGTGTCACACAGTGTGCACAGAGAGGGGACAAACTGCAGCACCAGGGAGTGGGATTTGAGAGCTTCATCAAGAGCTCATGCAAAGCAGTGACTTACTGATGGAAAAAGCAGTATTAATGTCATACTTACAGTAGCAAAGAACAGAATTCCAAACAGAGCATACAAAGCCTGGAACTTCTGTGAGGAAGAGTGAAAAAAAACTGAGTCAGAATCATGTAAAAATGATTTCATCAGTGCATTTGCACCTCCAGCTGAATCCAAGAAAGGCCACACAATGAAAACAAAAACAACATGATGGAGCAGTTAACCTCAAACAGGTGTGATTCTACTTCTGTCACATGCCTAGCTATGCTTGTTCATCGGATTGGGAAGAAGCAAAACTCATCAGTTTATTATATGGGATAATCTACAGGCCATGTCTACACATCAGATGATTAAAGGTTAACCTTTTTAGAAAAGTGGCTGATATACTGCAGCCAGACCAAATGGCCTCAAGTTGTGCCAGGGAAGATTCAGGTTGGATGTTAGGAAGAATTACCTCTATGAAAGAGCTGTCAGGTGCTGGAATGGGCTGTCCTGGGAGGAGGTGATGGAGTCACCGACCCTGGAGGTGTTCAAGAAACATTCATATGTTGTACTGAGGGATGTGGTTTAGTGGAGAAATATCAGCAATAGATGGACACTTGGACTGGATGATTTCGGAGGTCACAGAATCACCAAGGTTGGAAAAGACCTTCAAGATCATCCAGTCCAACCATCCACCTATCACCAATAGTTCCCACTAAACCATGTCCCTCAACACAAAATCCAACTGTTCCTTGAACTCCTCCAGGGTCGGTGACTCCACCACCTCCCTGGGAAGCCCATTTCAGTGCTTGACCACTCTTTCAGAGAAGTAGTATTTCCTAACATCCAGCCTAAATCTCCCCTTCTACCCTTCTATCACTAGTTACATGAGAGAAGAGGCCAACAAGGTCTTTTCCAACCTTGGTGATTCTGTAATTCTATGAAGTAGTTACAGGCACTGCAGGGCACAGACTGACTCATGTCAGTGCATCCAACAAGCACACATCCAGTAAGGTACTTACATATGAGTTTATAATGACACAGGCAATTGCCCCAGCAACCCACAGGATGCTTGAACTGCTCGATATGGTGAGGTTCATCAGGGGTTTCTGGGGACACAAAGAACAGTGAGGATATTTTAGCTGCAATTAGCCAGCACGTCTTTGAATCAAAACAATACATACTGTGCAAGGATGTTTATTAATGAACTAACATCAGTGGTATGCATAAAGACAAACCCAGAGACTACTGCTGCTGACTTGACTTAAGCTTTTGCTCCTCTTGTTGGTCTATTAATAAACTGAGTATTTCCATAAACCAGATTCTTGTTCTGCTTTTGTTAATCTCTTAACCTGATTTCCAGCTCCTGCTGCCTTCCCACTGATACTCGTCAGCATTTCTGACTTCATTTCCAAGAAACAGGTAAGTGGTAATGTAATCATGAGTTAAACCCCTTAAATACAGCACATTCTGGATATGAATTCTGAATTCTCTCATTTTAAGTATAGGGAACATGTAGAGAGAAGAGCAAAGCTGGGACAGGAAGAGTGAGATTTGGTCCTATGAGCATCACAGCCTCCAGCACAAACTGCTCAGTTCTGTTTCTTTCTACTTTGCTAGTTTTTGAGTTGCATACAAAGCTTGCAGAAATTGAGCAACTCCAAAAGTCAAAACAGATATAAAACTGTCATTAATATCACAACAACTTAGATTACTTGTAGTTACCTAGAATGTTGTTAATACTTACATTTGTCTTCCGAGCAAATAAATACAGTAACAGGGTTGCAGCTGCAGTTATTCCTCCAACTAACAATACTGTCACTGACTGATAGGAGCTAGAACACAAGAGACAACCTGTTATCTCACTGTGCTCCAGTAGAAGGTAAGGTAGTGAAAGAAAAATGCTTGAAGGACTTACTCTGAAATAATTCCAAGCACTGCACTTCCAATTGCTGTCTACAAAGACAAAAAAAAATAAAGAAAATCACACTCATCTCACCTCTGTCTTCCTGCACAGAGAAAATAATCCTTTTGGCAATCGTTGGAAATCAATATTATCGAGAACATTTGCCTCACAGAATGGGAAAAAAATTCCATGATAGATATAATGTAGACAGATTTTTTTAGATGACATTTCTTGCTGAGGAGAATTTTAAATGTTGTATCAATTGATGAGATGTGAAAGAACTTGATGAGGAAAAATCGTAGAGTTCAGCACTAGGCTTACCACTGTCAAGCTGTACAAGGCATTCACGGAACCCACTTGGCTGGCTGCAGAGCTCAGGAGGATAAGAGCAATGCAAATCCTGGTTACAGAGAAAAAAAACAAAGAAAACATTTGTACTGAGTGATAGTTCCAATAAAGACAGCAAATAAGTGGTAACAGTTTTAATACTGACAGCAAAGCATTCAGATTTCCATGTGCTCATCCATCCAATAAATATTCAATGATTTTTTCCAAAGTATTTTTGTATTATTGAAATGGAGTCTCAATTACACAGGCTGTACTGGTTGAAACAGAGCAGTGTTATATACTTGCAAATCAAGTAAATAATTTTTTTTCCTCAGATATTTGTTGTATATTTGTGTGGATATCAGAAAAGATTTTTTTTTACCTCTAACTCACCTAAGTGAGCATCTCTGAAGGTCTGCAAATTTGTGTCACAAGGCTGCACCCAGGGGGAGAACACAAAGGCCCTGCTGTTCGTCATGTAATTCATGCCTAGCAGCTTTTTGGTAAGCAGTATATCAGCATGCCCAGAGGCTTTACTTTCTGCTTTTTCTAGGTCCTTTCAGCCCCTGAGCACAGTGAGCAGAGGTCATTCATACAAATTTTTTGAGATTTAGAATGGATACTGAGATATAGGCTGGATATAAGGAAAAGGTCCCTTACAATAAGGGTGGTGAGGCACTGGCATAGGCTGCCCAAGAGATGGTAGATGCCCCGTCCCTGGAGGTCAGGGGTAGATCAGGATCTGAGCATTCTGATTGAGCTGTAGGTGTCCCTGTTCACTGCAGGGAAATTGGATTAGATGATCTTTAAAGGTCCCTTCCAATTCAAACAATTCTGTGATTCTATAACTATAGTATTTACCTGAACTTGAAGCCTGGCATGTCATTCTGGGTACTTACACAAAAGTGAGGGATAGCCAGTAATAGTTCCCCAGATGGAGCCGTAGCCTGGACCTGCAAAAGACACAGCAGGAGTTAGAACATCCTACAAGACCGCAAAGCACATTGCAGCATATCCATGGGGTTGCAAGAGCCTCAGGGATAAGCTCACCCCAGCAGGTGGGCTTCCATTGCATTTGGGCATAAAGCAATTTCTCCTATTTTCCATTTTCAACCACTAAGCATAATCCTGCAACAACTTGGACTTATGGGTTTCCATCTTTTAGCTGCAGAGTCACTCCAAACCCCTGAGCAGGCTCTGGAGAACGTGTACTCTGATGAAGAGCTGAGGGATCATGGAATCATTTAAATGCATCAGGGCTGAGTTGTATTCCACAGCTGTAGAGAATCTCATTACCTGCAACTTCCCTTGTTAGCACCTAGGGAGTAGCACCTCCCAGACCCAGGCAGCCAATTAGCTTAACCACAGAGATGTTGCTGTGAGAGTGACTGAACAGAGCCTGAACTTACCAGCCTAGAAATCCCACTGCTACCATGAGATAAGTGGCTGCCAGCCCATAGACCTTCTTGCTGAAATCTGAAGAGACCATGTAGACAATGTTACTTCAATCATTTCAACAATGCAACAGAACTTGAGAGTAAAACTATGCTACCCCAAGAATATGTGGTGAAAGAGTGAAATGTTCCTGCTTTGCTTGTTTGTCAAGAATTCCCCAGGGGAAGCCATCAAAAGTCCTGTCAGAGCTGTGGGATGCCAAGGGGCACTGCCAGTGGGTGGGTGTTTCACTCCACGGCTACAGCTGCAGGGTGCACTGCCACTTTCTATTTCTTTAGCAGGGCTGATGCTTAACCAATAGCTCTGCAACAGCCTTATAGGCCCCTTGTTTACTTTCACTGTATACCCAGTGCTGACTGGTCACTCAGAAATGGGCTGCTTCTATGCTGCATTTGCATTCCTGCACAGCCTGCAGCAGCCCCCATCTGGACACAGCCTGGGTGCAGACATCAGCCCGGCAGCACAGGGATTTGCTCCTCACCGTGCTTTGAGGTAATGCAGACTTTAGTCTCCATCTTTACCAAGCACGTTCTACGTGGAACAAAGATCACATTTATTGCGGTTGCTGATATTGTATATATAATGATTAACAAAGGGCCTTAATGGCCCTACAGTAGTGAGAACAAAAATCTGTATAAACATAATCTTGTTGTTCTGCCTGCTGCTAACTGTTCTGGATTAGAAAGATGATACAACCAAGATCAATTTAAATCTGTTATTTACACAGATGGAATTGGTACATCTTAGCTACCCATACACATCTCACAGAATTATGGAAGTAACTCAGACCACTGACAACAGAACACTGTATTTGGCAGTTCTCTCACCCTTACTCATGCAGTTCCACTTACCATCGGGGGGAAGATCCAAATCCTTTGGTTCCCTTTGGTCTCTCGGAGCTGGAGGCTGTGATCGTGGCCTGACTCCTGGAGGCCCTCCAAGGTCTGTGCTACGGGATTCTGGGCAGCCTCTGCTTCCTGCTTCTACCCTGTGCTCTTCCATTAGGGTTGTAGCTTTGCTGAGGTTCTTTGGTGACGTTTGTTTGCAAACATCAGTGTCTTCACTGACAATAACAACTTCTTCTTTGGTAACAACAACTCCACGGGGCTCGCACTTCCTGATGAACTTCTGAAGCACTTGGATGTCTGTTTAATGAAGAATAAATATAACTGGAACCCAGCTGTGGACAAAGAGGTGGCTTTCATCTGAAATGCAAAAAAAGCACATAGTCCTGGGCACCAGCTCTCTATCTGACTCAGAAGAGTAAACCCAAGCATCCGTTTCTTTCCATACCACAATATGGGTTGCTTCAAGAGCTTCTGAAGCTTTTTTGAGGGAGAAGACAGAGGCAGTATTGCACTCAGGATTTCCTGGGGACAAAGCTGTGTCAGAAGTTCCAGCTGCGTCCCTGCACCACGTGTGTTCATGGTCCTTGTACCCACCTCTTTACTGAAGAGCATCACTCCCTCCTGTTCAGCATCACTGATTCATTTCTTAACACAAATAATTCCCCAGGTGACACCAATAGAAATCATTTTCCATGTGAGTAATATCTGCTACAGTCAACGATCACTTTCTTTCTGATAAAGATCATACTCTGATAAACTCATGCTGCAAGGCAGCTTGTGGCAATGAATCTGAAACATATAAGCAGAATTTGGAAACCTCTTCTTCCCAAACCTAGATTTCAGCAGGCCACTATGAAAGAGTGTAAAGATACCCTATCCTGTTGGTCAGCAATGCATTCCTTGAGAACACTTATCTCCCACATTACGGGAATCTGCATACAGCATTCTCCAGTTACCTCTCCTCATAGCGTCAGAACATGGCAGAGTGAAAATGTTGCTTTGGTGGCTTGCACAGGGACTTGTTAGTGCATCCTGATGACGCAGGTAGAACGTCAGGAGGTCTTCATTCCTTCGTTTGTGCGTGATTTGTTCTGTCCTGTTGCATCTCTTTGACTCAAACCTTTCATTCCCACTGGCCATTGTCGGTGCTGGGTTCTTTTCTCCTGGTATTTCCCACCTTCCAAAACGCCACAAAACAATGAGTGACTATCAGCTCCAAAAGGAGAACCAACTGCAGACAGCACGGTGAATGACCAAAGGAAAGCTTTCACTACTCCCCAAGGACACATCCTTTACCGGTGAGATCTCTGTGCACCTGTCAGTGCAGCACTGGGTCTATCAGCCGGCTGCAAAGTCTGACTGTGCACAGTACTCCTGGCACAGCCCTTTAAAAATTAAACGCACATTCAGTAGAAGATCAGCAGAGAAGATCAGCAGAGGTGGTAAACTAGAAAAACTCACCTGTGTTGATCTCTTGCTTATAACCAAGGAAGGGACAGTAGTACAGGGTGTACAGCGAGCATTGGGTGTCAGCCGGGCAAAGTCTTTCCTTCCCTACAAGAAACCAGTCACAGACTGTGGAGGAAATGGGGGTAGATCCTGCAGATAGAGTTGGCCAAAACAAAACCAAAAGCAACTGCTTTGTGCCTACCTGTAAAGTCTGCGGATCTCAGCTGTGACTTGATCACTCCCTTGCTGAGATAAGTAGAGGTGGCAGGTTGAAAACGTACCCATATAAGGCTACGGCTGTATGTGGGATAATTATGGGAATGTGTATTGCAAAGTCCTTCCTCTGTAGGCTCTTGTCAGGCTCAGCCCACGCGTAATGCCGTATGGCTCACCTTGAGCAATAGAGACTTTGAGAGAAGGAACTGCACATTAACTTTGGTTTTTGGTGACTAATAATATCTGCAGTTCAAGTGCTGGTTTTGAATCTTTTGCAAAACTTTGATGTAGAAACAAGGAAGGGTTGAGCTTGGAAGAAACCTCTGGAGGTCACCTGCTCCAAGTCCACTGCTGAGGAGATCTGCTGGCTTGCTGTAACCCTCCTCCTCCTCCCTGAGCACATGGTCCTACCTTGAGAGCCCCCTGTGCTATGTGCTCTCACTCTCTTTCTCTAATCTCTACCTCTTTCTAATCTCTATTCCCTCTTTTGCCAGCACTCAGAAGCACCATTTTAGATCAACACAAGAACAACAGCATTGTGTTATAGCTTGGCCCTTCAGAGCTGCCCACCTCCAACAATGGCCAAAAGCCAGAGCATGCAGGAGAAGAGTATTAAGAACTGTGCAGTCACTGTAAGACTTCCTGAAACACCCAAACAGTCCAAAGGTGAGTGTTGAGGAATCCTCACAATTGAACTGACTTTTCCAGTTCTACTGCATCTTTTTTATGTAAGCAGTCATTCAACAGAACACACATGGCGACACCACAGATGTCTATAATGACAGAATAATTTCCCTAGTTATCCTCTACCAATTTCCAGCATTTAGATTTTGTTCAGCAGAAAGCTGGTGTTTTCATGGGCCTGGCTATCAAAGACAGGTTTTGATGTCTGATTAGTAATGATCACTAGATACAGAGCCTACTAAATTGCTTTTCTTATTCCTATCCATTTATCTATTCAATTATTACATTTCAGTTGCAAAGTGCAGTCAGCAAGTTTTGTGAAGGTCTTCAGTAGTATTTTATCACCAACCTTTGTTTTTGCAGGCCCAGAAAAGTTAATTGTTAGTTGTTGTGGTGGTTGTTGCTGTTTCACTCTCCAGTCCCTGTCGCAATCATTTTCAAGTATGTGAAACAACATGTGACCAGGGAGTAGGTCCTTGCAGGACCCATCTGTGGTCCTTTAGAAATAGTCTTAACTCATTTGTTTTTCTTTCTCTGAAACACTTTCTCTGGTCAGGTCTTTCTCTCTTTGGCAGAGATGGCTCTGTTTGCACAAAACAGCAGAACAACATGTGATAAGTCCCCCACAAAGACCTGTTCTGGCATAAATATCTCCTTAGATTTCCAAGTGTTGGAACTCATTTGGCATCTCTGCTACAATAGCTTTATCACCTTTTACACGTTGTGTGCCGTAAACCTCACTGACTTCTGCAACAACTCTGCTCTGGCTCTTCTTGACTATGAAATTTCATAATTATCAGCAGCTTCCTCTCTTGAACCTGAAGGCCATGATGATTTACTTCAGAACACAGGTGGAGACTTCACATCTATTCAGTGCTCACAGTGCAGGCATTCAATGGCACAGAGAGGAATGGCTGTGTTGCCATTCAGTGCAACATGAGTAGGCTGAAGAAATGAGCCAAGACGAACCTCGTGAAGCTCAACCAAAGAAAATCACAGAATCACAGAATTGCCAGGGTTGGAAGGGGCCTCAAGGATCATGAATCTCCAACCCCCCTGCCA